GTTTCACTCTTACATTGTGGTAGCGCCGCCTCAGTTATTAGTACGATCGGTAGCGTTTTTTTTGAGGGAGAACATCAAGGAAAAGTTAAGTGTTTAATTTTTATTAATATGGTTAATTCTAAGTTAAATCATTCGGAAGATGATGACGTTCAAGAAAATTTTATTCCTTCTTTGAATCAGGGAACTTTGAAAAAGTTGGTTCAGATTATACAAGCTATTCAGCACAAGGATAATAGTACTCAACATTTCGGTGAATATTTGTTTGAAGCAAAGAATTTAGATTCTGTAGTGAAACTTGCTGACCATAAGAAGTTAGTGAAGTATGATGGAACTAATTCAAAGGTTGCTTTTAAGATATTTAGAGAATTTAAACAGTCTTTAAGAGAGTTGTATTCAAATGAGAACCAGATCAGAGAGTATTTGACAGCAACTCAAGTTCGAGTTTGTGCTAGTTTGTATTTTGAGAAGGATGGTGCTAAATTTATTGATGACAAGTTGATGCTGTTGGAAAGTAATAAGGTGAAGGTTGATGATTTGCTTCAGATGATCGAGAAACGAATGGTCAAAGAGCATTTATTGTTTGATTTGATTGCAGAGTTAGTATCATTTAAGCAGGAAACAGATTATGCAACTTATAGAACAAAGTTTTTAGAGTTGGTAGATCTTTTACCTTATCCTACAACACAACGAGAAGCTTGGTTTATGAATCAAGTGAAGAATTATTTGCAGATGCTTTTTGTTAGAAATGCTCATGAAAGTATTTACAGCACACTTCAGTTGGAAATTAAATCGTTAGATGATATTGCTAAGTTTACTCCTCCATCTCATGTTTTGAAGTCTTCTAATACAGCAGTTCAAGCTAAGTATGGAAAGAAGCATTCTTTAGAACAAGAGTTAGAACAAGATGATCAGGATAAAGTGCAGGAGAAACGGTTTAAGACTGGTTGTTTTGTCTGTGGAGATACAGGGCATTTTAAAGGTGATTGTCCGGTAGTGGCAGGTGCAGATAACGAAACTGATGAGGATGAGTTAAGTTTAGTTTCAGACTCGGAGGTTTCAGAATTAGAAGTAGGTAGTGAAACGGATGAGGATGAGTCGAGGTCAGTTTTAGACTCGGAGGGTTCAGAATCAGAAGTTTCGGGCTCAGAGGTATCGAGTGTTTCATCAGTTGAAGATTCAGGTTCAGAATTGGAAGAATCCGAAACATTGTCAGAAGAAGATAGTGATTAGGCAGGTACTTGGTTTTGAAGAATTTCAATCGCTAGTTATCAATTCTTTGTATACAGTAAGAGATAAATAAGTTTAATATAAAGGCTTATGGATTTATCGTAGAAATTGCGGTTTAGCATTTCAGGGTATACTGTTGCACTGAGTGTGGTGGAAAGACTAGTCTGAGAAGATTCATTTCAAGTTGGTGCATGCTTTCAAGAATGGCAGTAATGATGAAGGGAATTATCCTCCAAGAGAGTTATTTCTTGTGGTAGTTCAGATTGCTTGATTGGCACAGGCACAGGTGTTAATTGGTCAAGGCAAATTTGTTTTATAACAGAGCAGAAGTCGTTAATTGGTCTTTGCGGAACCTTAACCATTATCTGGTAAGATGGTAAGATGGTTTGGCTGGTTAGTTGTATCAGGTACATTCAGGGAAAGAAGAATCGAGCGGTGAGTTTGATTATGCGTTTCAAGATTTCTCCAGGATAGAGCAATGGGTTTTGCTAGGTGAAATGCTTGAGGAAGACGTTCTTCTGGAATGTAGGTACACTTTCAGGATCGAAAGGTGCGAAGAGTTTTATTTTTTTTTGACGAAGCTCGGTTATGAAGGATATTATTGTGTAAGCTCACACAACAACAGAATCTTTACTTTGGTTTATACATGGTATTTGGGAAAGCTCCAATGACTGATATTCTTATGAATTGGAATTACGGTCAGGTTGATATTGGATGGAATGCGGAACTCTTAAGGTTAACTAGAGGTATTTTTCCAATGGATCTTGGTATTGGTTGATTTCTAATAGTGTATATTAATTGAAGGGTTGAATTGTGGATTGTTGCATGCTTGGATGTAATTCTGCAGCGGATATGTGACATAGCTTGGTACTAGAAAAATTTCAAGATTCGTTAAGAAATTCGAAAGATTGGTCTTATTCGAACAGGAAATGTTTTCGTCGTACTTCTTCGAGTGGTTTTTCACGAAGGTTCTTTTCCACTTGGGATTGATGTTAAAGCTTTTGGTTTAAGGTTTTCATTGATCAAGTTTTTTTTGGCAATCTGGGGAAATTGCTGGTCTGCAGTTAGATTGTGAAGAGTTTTTTTGTTTTTTTCAACTTGGGACATTGTCTTAAGGCAATGAAGTTGTTTTTTTTGATAACGGAATATTGTTTTTGCAATTAGTTATCAAGGTTCTTTCAACTTCCGGGCATTGTTGGCAATTAGTTGGTCTTATGACAACTAGGAATATTGCAACATGGAAGGTTGTAAGGTTTTTTTTTGATTTTTTTGATTTTTTTGATTTTTTTTGATTTTTTTTTGGAATTTTTTTTGGAATTAGTGTTTTCGTACATGGTTGCCACGAATTCATTGCGGTTATGGAAGAAGGATTGGATACACGGATCTCCTTCTTGGTGCAACTAATCTCATGGTATTTGCTCAACAGTGTTGTTGGTTTCGGTTTTTGTTTAGTCCCTATTTTTCGTTGCTGACTGGTCTTTCACCTTGCTTTGATCAAGCGAGGACGCTTGATTTTGTTGGTGGGCGAATGTAAGGATGAATTCCGAAATGGAACATTCTGTGGTTTTAAGGTTTGTCGGTTCCCAAGAGAAAGCTAATTTATAATATGTGTTAAGTTAATATGTATTAATTGGTAATGCTTGGTTGAGTATCAGCTGGTTAGAAACCTTAAGTAATGCTAGTCGGGATTTGACTTAGGGGTTTGCCTAAGTAGCTTAAACGAGCTTTCAGGATTAGTATTAATATGAGTGGATTTCCACCTTGTGGAATTGAGATTGTAAAACTAGTTTAGTAACAAGTTAATTCTATAGTCATAGAGGGAGGTATTAGTTCATAATATCTCAGATATCTAATATATAACGCGCTTCCAGGTTAATAAAGCTTATTTCTGAATAACTGCGTTTCACTCTTACAATGACTTGTTTTCTGCAGATACGCTAAAAGTATATACTTATCTTTCCTCTTTTGTCAAATCTTTGTATAATTCTAGGGGTTGTCCATTTTAAATAGAGATGCCGTCAACATGTTGCTTGTGTTGTATTTACCGGTTTTTAGTTTTGTTTGACTTCTAGTTAAAAATACTAAGGATCTGATGCCCTCTTTATTTTGATTTATTAACTATTGGTACTTGTTGTATTACTGATCTTATTTGATAACTTCGTGAGCTATTCTGCAATAATGATCTGTAAGAATATTATAGTTGTTTGGAATGTTACACAAAACAATAATATAATATAAATATAATAAACACTAGTTAACTAAAAGAAAAGTAATATAAAAAATATAAAAAATAAGTCTCAAACAATTCTCGTAAATATATTCTTGAAATTCTCAATTAAGTCACATGACCTAAAATAGTTCTAAGAAACAACAGCATCCCCTTTCTCTCCCTGGGTTTGGTTGTTAATTTCATCTACCATCTTATTCACAAGTTTTCTCTCAGCCTCTCTCAATCCATTCTTCAATAAAGTAGCAGCATGAATTGGACTATCTTCATAAGTAAAACTTGGCTTTAACATATCTTGATTATAAGTTCCTTTCTCGATTCTTCCATTAATATTTCTAAGTTGATAAGCTCCTTTTTCGATAACTTTCATAATCTGGTAAGGACCGTCATATTCTGGATCGGTTTTCTTCGATTTTCTTTTTTTCTTGAATACCCAATCTCCTTTTGAATAACCAGCGGGAATACCGAATGGTTTTTTTAATAGGTTTACAATTTGTCTTCTTCTTCTCTTCAAATCATTATGGACATCTCTGTCTTTCTTCATCATATCAAGTTCGTAGAGTCTCATTGTAAAAGCGTCGTGTTCATCAGCGCCATCCTCTTCTCGCATCGGACGTTGAATGGTTTCAGTTGTATATTGTTCAAGCATCTTTTTAGCAAATTCATTTAAGACACTTGTTCGACCAATTGCAAGGTAATATGGAGTTGTGTTGAAAATACTGGGAGTAGAATTATACATGTGAACGGCATAAGCTAAATAATTGGGCCAGTTGTCCATTGTACCATGTGTAATTCCTTTCAAAATCTTCTTCAATAAACCATTTGCTTTCTCAACACGACCATTACTCATTGGGTGATAATTCGAAGATATATATTCAATTGCTGACATAAGGTTGCAATTGTCAGATTTACAAAACTTGTACCGTTATCTGTGACTATCTCTTTGGGCGTTCCATATAATTGGTAGATCCAATTGATCATCCAATGAACTGTTGTGGCTTCCATAGTCGATGTAGCAGAGGCATATAACAAACCTGTAACGTATTCAACAGCAACTAGGATATAGCGAACTCCATTTTGTTCATTAAGAATAACATAGTCAAGACCCCAGCGTTCAAAAGCGTGTAAAGGTTCGAGGATAAATAACTCTCTTTGAACTTTTGAAAAATTGGAATGAACTTGGCAATACTCACAGTGGTTTACTATATCAGTTGTTATAAGCTTATGATCAGGATGCCATAAACTCATTGTAGCTAAATAGTCTGTAACCCGTATAGATGGATGATGTACTTTATGAATTTGAGCAACATGATTTGTAAATTCTGTCCTATCAGCAACATTAACTAACCTATCTTTAAGGATAACCTTCAATTTTCCATCTTCAAATCGGAATTTATCATAGGGATATTCATCAAGAGCAACATTATCATTCAGTAGATCAGATAAATTAGATTGGATATGTTCTAAATCATCATCATTCAAATCTTGGATTTCAATAGCATCAATCTGGTTCACCTTTTCCTCAGCAGCATTGTCAATATTATTGGTTTGATAGCGTGATAAAATATCAGCAACATAATTGTTCTTCCCAGGTAAATATTTGATAGTTGGTGAATAGGCTCCTAAAACATCTAGAAATCTTGCGATTCTCATAGGTGGTACCGTGGTTTTACTTTGGAGAATACTTAACGACTGATGGTCTGTGAAAACAATGACGTTACCATTACACAAATAATTAAATTTCTTAAGTATTGTGATAATAGCGAGAAGTTCTTTCTCCATTGCTGAATAACGTTTCTGAGTATCATTAAGTTTGAATGAAGCAAAACTTATGGGTAAGTAGCAATTTTTGTTTCCTATTCGATGGATTTGACATAATATTCCGCCAATAGCAGCATCTGAACTATCAGAAAAGATATACGTAGGTTGATTAACATTATAAATCGCCAACGTTGGAAGATTAACAAGACATTCTTTCAACTTCTTAAATGCTTCAATAGATTTCTTGGTATGTTGGATTGGATGTCTCTTCTTGGGATTGTTACGAATTAAATCTGTAAGTGGACCAGTAATTTCAGACATTTGTGGTATGAACTGTCTAAAAAAATTAGTAAAATTCACAACAGATCTAACTTCTGTAGTAGTTGTTGGTAGTTGCCAATTATTAATCGCCTTCATTTTATCAATGGTTGGTGATAATCCATTATTATGAATGTAATAACCTAAAAATTTAACTCTCCTTTGAATAAATTGGGTCTTCTCAAGATTCATTTGTAAGCCGTTATCATTAAGAATTTTACAAACTTTATCAATCATTCGCTTGTGTAAATGAAGTGTAGGAGTATGGATCAAGATATCATCCATATAAGCAAATACATGTTCTTTTGGTAAGATCTCATTCAAGAATTTTGAGAACACGAATGGTGAATTAACAGCACCAAAAGGTAAGGTGGTGAAGTTAAAATTGCCAAATGGAGTGATAATACCGAACTTCCTTGAAGTTTCTTCATCAACAGCAATCTGATGGTAAGCTGACTTGAGATCAAATACAGAAAAATACTTCAGTGTCTTCAATTCATTCAGTAGATCTTTGAAATTTGGAAGATAAACTGGTTGAACAACAGTCTTATCATTTACCTTTCTCAAATCTACAACAACTCTGTATTTGGTTTTCTGTTTTATAGCAAACACTGGACTCAACCACGAGCCTGGTATTTCGTCAACTAATACACCAGCTTTCTTCTTCTCATCGATAAAAGCTTTAATAACTTGCTTCTCTTCAGGAGTTTGAAAATAAGGTACTTGTAATACAGGAATTTCATCTTTAGTGATAATATGGTATTTGTAAGTTCGTTCTTTAGGTGGACGAGGTTCCGTTGAAAATAACATTGGATATTTCTTTAACAATTGTTGTTTGAAATCAGTAAAATCTTTCTCTAGTGTAATACTTAAAACATCGCTTTTTTTTGGGATTTTATAAATTTTTCTGGGTACTATATAAAAACATCTCTTGGAAATACAAACTTTATCTCTGTTCTCTCTCATCTCATAATTCCATTTTCTAAGGGTAGGTTCACCAATTAATAATTGTTTCAAGTTCTTCATCAAATATACCCTTAGTGTACAGTCAAAAGGTTTCGGAAGTTTAATTTCAGTTTCATGTTTGATTTTATGAAATATGTTAGAAGCAGTTCTGGCAACGATCGGTTTACTCGCGTTTCTCACTTTAGCTCCTTGGAAATATCTTAAGTAATCATAATCCATAAAATTGTCTTCAGCTCCGGAATCCCACTTGACTTTAAATCTAGGAGAAGCAATTTCATTGCCTCGCCTGGTCCTGAACTTCCCCTTCCAGTTCTTCTTCAAATTCAATAGCATTCAATTCGTATGAAGGTTGTTCATCTGGTTCGATACATTGTTCCAGTTCAAAATCTTGAGATTCATCTGGTTGGGTAGATTCTTCAGTTTCAACAGCATAAGCAGTTTTTTTAGGTCTAAAATTCTTCTTTGATTTGTTGTCTTTGTAGTGAGGTTTCCCTTTTGTATCATTTGGTCTCGAATTAGATCTAAAAGATGTTTGTGATTGTCTTGGTGGTTGTTCGTAACATACAAGAACCTTCTTATTATTATTGTATTGACCTTTGTTCTGATATCCACAATTATTTCCACAATTGCCACTTCTGTTGACACTCATAACATCACGTAATGGATTTCCCATTTCAAAATCAACATCAAATTTGATTTCCAGTGGAAATTTCCATCCTTGAAATGCGACCCTGGCTTCTTGAAAAAAGTCTTCCGCTCTAACTTGATCTAATCTATTCAATTGGATGATATGTCCAAATTGACTGACCAAGAAAGCAAGAACGATAAGTTTGACATTAGTCAATGAATTCTCATATCTTGTAAGACGGGATGCTCTAAGTTGCATTTCACTTAAGTATTCTGTTACTAATTGATCTGGTTTTGGCCAAGTAACAACAAATTGAAGAACATGTTTAATACTCTTAAAGGTAAGGTCAGTGTGCAGCGCAACTAAGAAAACAACATCTCTCCATTGAATACCAACGGATGAGTCTTCTGGGTATTGCTCTCTGGCTTGGTATAATTCCTTAAAATTACCAGAAAAGAATGAAGAAGCTAAACTGCCCCAACGATACTTTGGAATTCCCATTGTTTTAAATTTTGATTGCATAGACTGCAATTTCAGAAGCAAATGAAGATCATGGATGGTGTCGATCATCTCACTTTGAGTTGGCGTATAAATAGCATTTGGAGTTTTCCGATCTCCTTCTGCCTGTTGTTGAGCTCTCATAGTCTTCGCATCGATTTTTGTAAGATCAAAGATTGGCAAATATCTTCTAATAACTTGTTCTAAAGCAGATCCGTTTCTAGTTGAATAATTGGTTACGGATTTCTCAACTTGGGATAAATGGACCTTCTCATCTGCTAAATCACCTTTCATCTTTGAAAATTGTTCATATTCTTCATCGAAGACATGCTGAATATCGTCATGTTCTTCAGCAAAACGTTTATTGGCTTGAGCAAATGTCTCTTTCATCTGATCGTCGCGTACTTTATCATCATCATGAATCTGTAAGACATCGTCCTGAACCGTCTGAACTTGTGTAGTGACATTCTTCAAAGGTGTGGTAATTGCTTTATCCATGTACTCGTTAAGGTCGGCCGTATAAGTCTTTCCAAAAACATTAATACGTTTATCAATTTCATCTGCAACAATAGATCTGAGATCTTCAAGTGTAATTGTAATTGGGGTGGAGGGTGGTAATGATTGTGCGGGTGTAGTTTCTTGTTCTGCTGTTTCCTGGGGTGGATTTTGTTCGGATGGTGGTTTTGGAGGTGAAACTGGTGCGGATTTTGATTTTGGTTTTCCTGCCATTTTTTTTGTTGAAAATTAATTTTCTGTTGTATTTACCGGTTTTTAGTTTTGTTTGACTTCTAGTTAAAAATACTAAGGATCTGATGCCCTCTTTATTTTGATTTATTAACTATTGGTACTTGTTGTATTACTGATCTTATTTGATAACTTCGTGAGCTATTCTGCAATAATGATCTGTAAGAATATTATAGTTGTTTGGAATGTTACACAAAACAATAATATAATATAAATATAATAAACACTAGTTAACTAAAAGAAAAGTAATATAAAAAATATAAAAAATAAGTCTCAAACAATTCTCGTAAATATATTCTTGAAATTCTCAATTAAGTCACATGACCTAAAATAGTTCTAAGAAACAACACTTGCAAGATTCATGTAACTAAAAAAACTGAACTAAGTCATTTGTCAAAGGACAAAAGT